CCTGCTTTTTAGTTAATAACATAATTTTAGGCTCTTTTATTTCTCTCTTATTTTGTATTCTATAGTGAACTCCTTCTTAAACATGCTTAGCTACCTAAATTATTAACATTGGCTTCCTTTTTTGTACTTTACTGTATTCCTTCTTTTGAGTATCTACTGGTTCCGACTATATTAGCACTATGGGTAGTACAAAATTGTCCTGTCATTAACCATCATGTAATTATTAATTTTTGTGGTTGTTATTTTTTCTTTTTCTCGGCAATCATTGGTTGTGAACGCCGTTATCACCACCTTAAAATTTTGTATTATTCAGGATTACTGACACTATCATTACAAACACTGCATTAGACCTGACAATAAATAACAAAACAACAACCCTGAAATGTTATTTTATGATTGTTTAGAGTTGCTTCAACCTAATTAATTGACCGTCTTGGCGATAAACATTCTTAAATATCATTTCATAACTTCTTGTGTGACTATAGCTTTACTGTCACATGCATAATGAAATCATAGCTTCCACTACCCAATACTGAGTTATTATTATATGCTTTTTATTTTCCTTTATACTTCTTGGTATTTTTTCGTATTTTTTAAAATTATTTCGTGTTTTTCCTGTGTTTTTGCTGCTGGTGTCATTATATTTATTTTTTTGAAATATTCCTCTTAAATGTTTGATAAAATTAGATGCAAATATTGTAGATATGCGCTGAAAATTCCACACTGTACCGCTAGTACTGTTTCTGGAATAAAGCAAATTATTATTATCAGATATTTCATAGATATTATTACTGTACGCCTATACTGGTTGATTGATTTTTGTTTAAAATTAACTCTTCGCAAGTATGTTAAAACTGATTCTGTAGTTATACTTATTAATGAATGAGGCACCCAAAGTATCCGCAGGTGGACGAGAAGTTTTTATCCCTTAGTGTTTTTTAAATTGCGAAGCTGTCATGGTCCTTCCAGACAACATTTTCATTCATCATGAAGTAAACATATTTCGATTTTCCACGAATATTTTTATCTAATGAGTGACTTTATTATGACTGGTTGCACATCTGCACTGCCTCTGGTCTTTTTATTAACTTAGGATTGAGTTCTTCATTTGACTTATTCTATATCAGTTGGTGAATTCGGTCTGTGATAGTGCCTGCGGATTGCTGACTCTTCTGAGCACCAGGCTTGTAGGATTATTTTTGTCCTACAGATTTAGTCCTTCCTCAATACTGACGACACAGAGTCTTGGCTTTACTATAGTTAAAAACAGAATACTTGACTTAAACTTTATCTGTTTCTAAAACATAAAATAAATCATACAATTACACCAAGAAAAATGTACAAATCCACTGTCATTACAAAAAAAGGACAAACACGTACCGAACGGTATTGAGGGTACGGACAAAATGAACAGTCAATTAATTACATGTTTACACAAATAGAGTGACAGACAACAAAGAACATTCAGGGTCACATCACGTGGTGAGAGTTACAATAAATTGACCAATAATCGCAACAAGAAGGTCGCATCATATTGGTTAACTATCTATCATATAGTCTATCTATCTGTCGCGATTAACAAGGCTTCTAGGAATTCCTTGGAAACTTTGGATGATGTTGAGAAGTCATGAACTGACAGCACGAAGAATGATGTAGTATGTGTGTATCGGTCATTTCAAATCCTTTTTAGCTTCAGTCTAACTATATGTCGGGTGATTCCGCTACAACACAGTGTGATCCATTTGTTTTTGCCTTTGGTGTATTTAGGTGCAATAACAAGCACACTTCAACCCAATTAGGAGAACGGTAATCTGCTATGGAACACTGAATGACATTTAGGAGAATTCCATTCCATAAAAGTTTTCAAATTAGATAAAATCTGGGTCATAAGTTTCCAGACCGTAAATGTTACAAATTTCCTGGAATAATTTGAGCGCTGAGACAAATTGAATCATTGTAAATTATTTCAAATAATCCCAGTGTCTTCAAGAAACATTTGTACCAACCGACAAGTTACCTCCAAAGGAGCTGACTCCAATTTACGTGGTTTTCGACTATATGTTCTGATGGTTAATGAAATCCAAATAATTCTGCAAAAGAAGCTGTGACGTATACAGAGAAACGTTCGAAAGAACCTTGTTTCGATTGTTTCTTAAACAGGCTGGGATTATTTTAAATAATTTATAAATATCTATTTACTTGAATGCTTCTCCATTGGATGTCTTATCAATCTCCACTTACGTCTACATATTCCTTGCTCCTTAGGTTGTTCGTCGGTTATTTGCCAGAGTTCATACTTGCTCATACTTCCTGGCCAGCCATCGGGAGTCACAAATCCGTATGCTTTTCCCTGCTTAAAATGCAGTTGATCTCCAAATTCATATCGCAGTATCTGTCTTACTTTCCCAGGTGCAAATTACAGTGACATTGTCTTCCATGTTACTTCCTTTGTTGAGAAGACATTGTGAGGCAAAGTGCAACAGACAACCTCTTTAAGATTTCGCCTCTGATGTGTGGTGGTGTTTGGTTTTTTTCATCAAGTATCTCTATCACCTTTCTTTTAGACGTCCATCTGGGAGATCTTGCCATCACTGCCTCCTCTGGGAACTTGTTGAGTCTCCCCTTTGAAGTATCTTAGTTCGTGCGAAATGGAATAGGAGGCATCCATGAAGTCTGCATCTTCCAGGGTGTCACTGTAATCCAACGAACGCAAATTTTATCACTTCTCACGGCCTATTGTATGGTCCGGTCCATCAGGGTCATGAAGATCACTAATGATGGTCTACAGCCTTGTCTTACATATTTCTTCGCTTCATTGGCTTTGATGACCTTCCCACTGTAAATCACCTGGTATGCAGCATCGTGTTTTGTCAGCTGAATTACTGAGTTCCACTGTGCTAGTAATACACGTTCATACGAATTTACGTGTGCCTTTTTTACTTTGTTTCTTGGTTGTCAACGAACCACTAAGTCTATGTATGTGAGGAAGCAAAAGTACCAGGATATAAATGTACACTATTGAGGTCAAATCGATCGGCCGACAAGAGTTTTCGTCATTCAGCAGTATTTAAGAGTCTGCTGGTGGCATTTCCAGAAGATATTTCTCTATTGAATAGCCATGTGCATCGATTCACCGAGTGTTCTTTCAGTCTTCCAATTTCGGCGGTTGGTCTTTCTGGACTATCCTTCACTAGCGCCATGTGTATTCATCTCTTCTTGGATAGCAGTCTGCTTGAATGATACAGCTTTGCTTGGAATATAAGGCTATTTCTATGTATCTATTGTTCCTTGAAGTTTTCGAAGGGGGTGGGTTAACCTATCTCATCATATACTTCATATTTCTTCACTCTGGTCACGTGCAAGTGGAGGGTCATACTGTATCCAAGGAATTGGGTATCGCAGCAATATGCAACTTGAAACTAACTCATGTTGTACTGTGTTTGAAACTTGTAGCTTTAGAACCTTTTAAGTATTACCTCATCGCTATTCTGCACACATCTGCGGTAAGATTGAAATAAGAAAATCACAGTCATCGAGCAACACCTTTTCTGGGACGTTCCCCACATATACTGGAGATATTCCGGAATGCGGCTATGACAATGACTTCTAGCATGAAAAGTTTCTGGTATATGAAAAAGGCGGAATCCTTTTCCTTTATCATAACGTAAACAGAGAGAGATATAATTACGGATACAGTTATGTGCAGGAACAAAGGTGGATAAGAATGACCTGTTCATTTTCCCTCTCACAAAGACGAAGTGATTCTGAGAAAACAGTAGAAGAAAGGCAAGGACAAGGAAACTACTTTACTACGGAATACTGGTTCTCTCACCTGGTCGCCATTTATTGTATCTGATCCCGTTAAATGACTCATTCAAAAGAGGAACAAACATGCCCAGGCTCTTGGCAGGTAAGGGTTAACAGGAGGGGGCCGAGAGTAGTTTTGTATTTCGATTTGGTGTGGAAAAATGGTGGGGTGAGTGTATTAAGCACTCTTGACAGCCCATATATGCTTAACGAGTCTAAAAGTTCGTCACACTGTGAATTTTTGGTGGGAATCCCCGATGCCTGATAAATCTTTTTGCGTCAAAAGAGTCTGAACTGATTGGGGTGTTATTTTCTCTTTGTCGTATGAGCAAACGCTTGCGTGTCCGATTCGCGTGGTTGCACATTTCACTATCTTGACCGGGAGTATCCATTCTTTGGACCATCTTAACAAGTTTTTAGGTCTTTTTGCAACGTGAGCATATAGTTATAACTCTTAGACTCACTCGGGATTTTTAGGTTGTTTGTAAAGAGAACCATAGGAGATTAGGTAAGCTTAGGCAATTTGCTGATATGCAAGATAGATGAGAAGGACCGAGTACGGTGCCTTTTGGCACTCTACCACATATCATGGTCCAAGGGAAAGTTCTGAGTTCATCCTGACTCTTTGTCTCACACCCATGCGGAATTCCTGAATCTAATTTAATAGGCATCCTTTAACTCCAAGACTTTCAAATTTCATGAATAGTCTTGTGTGGGACATGATCAAAAGTTTTCCTGAGGTCAGTGGAAGAGACGTTGACGCGTTTCTTGAAGCCTGCAAACTTGGGCCAGAATTCTGTTGCCGTAGGAAGATTTTTCAGGCATAACATGTTTCCTCGGAAGCTATGCTGTGCTCTGGATAACACGTTGTTGTTTTGCAGCTATGGCGCGGTAACTTTCTTAGTGATTCTCTATAGTATCCTAGTTGAAGTGGTGTTGGGACCATAAGGCCCGTAGTTTGAAGGATAGTGTCTTCATCCTTCCCAATGGATGAGGGTTTATATGGGGTCTTTCTAGTCACCTTGTAACACTCCAATCAAGATTGATAGCTTTGACACCGCTCTCAGTCGTAAACAGAATTATAAACTATTAGAATTAGCTTGCCGAATAAGTTTCAACGCCTACCAGTCGACTCGTTTAGGAAGGGATTAGATAAATACAGGAGCGTATTATATCAATACGAACTTCAAGTCTTCAATTTTCAATCGTGAAATCAGCGATCTATGTTGAACACATTGGCAGGTGAGCGGGATTTGATAGTTTGTCTATGTTGCCCAAACGGAGACAAAATCAGTGTTTGGCGACAGCCTTGACTCGTCACATCTTATTCGTTATCATCCTTTCGTAGGATATGAAGTTCAAAAAGTCAAAGGCGTCAGATATAGTGGATTCACTCAAGCAGCTTAAGATGTAAGTTGTTAGATATGTGAGTATCTAAATTGTTTTTTGTCATGTCACAACTGTATATGCCCTTCGTAGACAAATAACCGTAATCTTCCTCTTTAAAAAAGATCATATTCTACTTTGGTTTAGACTTATTACTAAGACGGTGAGAGTAGTAATGCACATTTGTCGGTAACAATTGTTACTAATTTAATGGGGAGTTATGTGCTGTAATAGGTGGAAATATGTATTGATCTAACTCCTTTTATGTTTGGCTAAGTGTAGTTTGCTTTAAAACGTTTTAATGCATCTTCAAAATTTAGAGTGATCGTAGTCGCTCAGTAGTTAACAGTCTTTTTAACAAAAAATTTTGTTTAATAGTATTCATCCAAACGGATTCTATAACTATAGCTATGATTAGTTCTTCAACGTGGTTATTTCTGCTGTGACCGAAAATTTCGTTTTATTTAGTATGAAAATTTCCTGAGTCGGATTTAGTGGTGCCGTTTGACTGATCCGAATCAACCCCTAGTTTGAGCATAACAAGTGACTGACTAGTCTAACAAAATATAACTGCACCAGAATGCAGAAGTACTATGACACTGTTGTGACGAAAATGTATGATAGGACAGTCAAATAGGAATAATAAAGGTGTACACAATCTGCAAGACAACATAGCGTTAATAAATTTGCACCATTTTGAACTTTTCCCAATCACGTCTTAAGAAGTTCACTACCATTGGTTTTAAGCATCCTGAGGATTCTAGCTGGATAATCCGTAGTTTTCTATATGACCAGGCCATAAGTTTGTAATTGACCGGTTTCAACGTGGAAATGTGCATAAAGTGCACAAATTCAGGTTGTCACACTCTAAAGGGTAAAATGATAGAGAAAACTTTGAAGGGAACAATAATGAACGAATATTTATGGACAGTAACAAGAATTTTATGTCTAGGAGGAGTCCACAAAGAGTAAGTACATCTTCACCGATTGAGAGTGGTGTTGGTACATGTCACCAACAGTTTCCGGACATTAATCCTTAGCATTCTGAGGGCTGAAAACCGACAGTGAGAGATGTGATGGATTGGTTCCAACCTGATCCTATGTCAGCTAATTCACTGTTCAGTGAGGAATGCGATAACTGAGCACGCGTAACATGTGGTATAGCCATCACAGTAGCTTTTACACAAACATATTTAGAGTTACTTTCACCCTAAATGAAATTTTTAAGTAGAAATTATCATTTTACTTCGATTTTTGATGTTTGTTAAGAGAATAAGAACGTTAGTTTCATGTGAGCTAACTTGCATTCCGTTGCTTTCGTATCATAAGTAGGGACAGCATATCCGTGGGTTGCTTATACTCTACTACCTTGATGGTTACTCATAACTCGTGATGTTATTGATCGTTTATTTGTAGACAAAGCACTACCTTACTTGTTGGTGTTACACGCTTGTAGTTTTTCAGTCACATTCAAGTGCTCTCTCAAGTGTGTTTACAAGTATATTTAACGAAGTGGATGTCTAATTGGTAACTGACTCGTTCCATTACACGGCTTTTCATAGTAGTGCAGCGGTTTGAATTGCCATGCTGTATGTGGCACACAAAGGAAGACAAAAAAAAATAAAGGAGATTTTATGGAACGATAATAAGAAGTGTGAAGGAGAAGGAATAGTAACATATTGCCAGTTATCTCTAACCGTTGGTTCTTAGCATCCCGGCCAGGTAGTTGACACCTCCCTACGTGACTCAGAATAACTGCTAAATATTTTATGGATTGATTCTATGTTTTCTTTTGACCACCACTAGCTGTTTTTTGACCTGATTTTATGTAATATTGCTCCTCGAGGAAGACGATGTTTGGGCGTGCGTAACATGTTCTCCTAGCCATCTTAATCGATTTAACTTCATGACCCCATCGATTACTTTTCCCTCCTTACCTAACACGACACCTAATCTCACTATTATCCTATTATACTACCTCACATGGGAGATAGGACGCGGACACCCGTTATCAGAAACAGTTAACCAGGCTTTTCATGTCTTCCAATTTCAATGGTCATGTTTCACAATTTGATCAAGCTTGGTCGATAAAGGGCTTAAACAATTTATGGCGTCAGCACTACGCCAAGTGACATTTTATGAATAAATAATTGGTATTATTGTTGGTTCTAGAAAACTAAACCGTGGGCCATGTATGTTCTTATTTTTGTTTTCTGTTTTTTATTTTCCAGCACTGACCGTCGTTTTCGTCCTCAGTTGAAAGGATCCACACTTCATACACTTGCATATCTTGGGGAAGTTTCTTCTCATTGTAGATGTCAACTACGTATGACACGGTCAGCTTCAACTGCAGCAGTCATAGGTTATGATTTCCAGTGTTGTAAAGCATGCGAATATTGTCATACAATAGGAAAAGTAGGGACTGGTCATGAGATAATGCGTAAAAATGATTTAAATCAAGTGAATAGCGTGTTTCCCTGTGTATCAAATGAACATTCAGATACCCTTACTAGTTGTACAGAAAATACAAGAGCATTTCTTGCACCGCCTACTTCATCATCTGCTTACGTATGTACAACACTGCCTGCTAGACGTTGCCATTCTAATTATACTGCTGTAGAATCCGACCTACATCCTTTACGTGTTACCTCGTGTTTCGAACCGACTCATTTTCATAGATCTTATGGGAATGAATTAAGTGACGTTGAACAGGATCGTATTCATCATAATTCTACACATGAAAACCCATTTGGTGTGTCTAATACAATACGAAGTGAGCATCCATTTTGCTGTTGTCATGTCATGAATAATGCTCATTTACCTCATCATCATATGCGTCTTTATAGAAGACTGTACAGTCTTGTTGATCATCCATGTGTCAGTTTATATTATCCTTGCAAATACCACACTTGTACACATACTACAATAACTAGTGGTTGTTCTACAGGAATGGGTACATCATTTCGTAATTCTTTGTCATCGAGACATCGGCATACTATTACACCAGTGTCAATATACCGGTTGAGTATTGAATCTCGGACCACATCATGCTCTAAATCTTTAGATACTGAATCTGATTTAGGTCTGACAGATGCATCTCCAGCATCAAACTACTGCAGTATTCATCAACGTGAAGTAGCAATTCAATCGTGTCTGCAACAAGCCTCAGCTAAATATAAAAGCCAACCTGTTGAAGAAACAGTATTAGGCATTCAACGTTGTCGTAGAAACTCTGATCCTGAACGTTGGCAACAGTTTCGTGATCCACAAGGTAATGTAAATGAAAATCAAAGCAGTGGATTTAGCGAAACTCTAACATTTTCAAACAACTGTGAAAATGAGGTTAGCTATCTATCCACTCAACTTAATTGTCCTATTGTGAATCCAGAGACGGGGACTTTAGGGTGAGTTCATGTAACGTATTCACTCTTGTTTCTTATTTTTAAAAGTTTATAATAAAACAGGATTAGGTTTCTACAGGGAAATGAAGTCTTTAAATTCTCAATTTCCTTGCTCCTATGGTTGTTAGCTGCTTTTTTTCAACATTGACTCGTAAAGCAAATTAGCAGTTACAATGATTGTCATTGATATACTCATATTCACTGTTGCTTTGATGTCGGCTGTCCTCAAGTTGGATGGTGTTTTGTTACTTATATTTAGTGGTTTCATGGAAAAAGAATTAAAATTGTGCGAGAAAGGTAACTTTCATGGTTCATCCGAACGAGACAGTGTGGATACTCTTAGTGTCATTCTCTACTGGTTGACTAAATTGCCATAAGTAACTTTCTACGAAATTTGACAGCTATGTTTAAGTCCTATTCGTATACTTCATTCAAAACAGCAGTGAGGGGGTGAGTAAGAGAAGATTCTGTAAATAAAGGCTACTGATGATCATCACAATCTTTTCTTATCATGACAAATTCATTTAACCAGAAACCAGATGATGTAAGAGGAAAATTTGAGCACTCTAGTAGGATATAATTCCATACTGGATAAGTCTATTTGATACAACAGGTGTTGTGGTTTTTTATTCCTTCGCGTCAATTGTGGAGCATAGAGCATTGAAGTTCCAGTAGCTGTTGTGTTGTTTTCGGTATTTGAGGTTGCTAGCCCCACACCAAACGTCCCCTATTTATCAAGCTTAGTACCAGCTAAGGGAGGTTTTGGAGTTCGTTGGCTGGGAATCAGACCTGAACCACGTGCAGTTCAGGGTTGGGATTTGGGTGTGGTGATACAGTATTAATAGCTAGATGGCGTTTCGAGCACTATTTTTCGCTCATAATAATAATAGTAATAATAACTTTACTTTTCTCGTTTCAACAGTAATAATGGCATTCAGTCGCCTAATTCACGTACGAATGAATATGTGTTAACAAACAATGACGCCTATAATGATCAATCGGTTGCAGATAAGACAGCCGGAACATCAAGAGCATCCAATTCCGTGTTGACAACTACTGCTACTACTGTTGGAGATGGTCGTCAGGGTTTTAATTCGTGTCAGACGAGATTCTCACAAAGTATTAATACATTATCATCACCTTGTGAGAATCCGCCTATTTGTCATTATTCAACAAAAAGTGGAATCGAGTCAAACCCACCCGTAGAACAACAACAACAACAGCAACAGTATAGGTTTCAATTCCGACCTTCTGTCCTCTTATCGTCTACAGAACATGCGACGACAACAACACCACCAATTATGTATACATCAGACACTTGTTTTTCGCTGCACTCACCAAATGTGTCATTGTGTCAGAGAGCCCAATCAACGTCAGCGTCAGCAACAGTGGCATCAGTAGCTGGAGGAGATGATGTGTCAATCTGGTCTGACGATGTTGGTGGCGACGGTGACGATGATGACTTGTTGTTAAAAACGAATATTATTCAGTCGGCTAGTAATAATAATGATACTGCGGATTGTCTTCCAGTCAACAGTAGTAACAGTGGCGGTTATGGTCCTACTGATCCTAGTGATAGTAATGGTAAGCCTCAGCTAATTTCAGATATATCTGTCAATGAATTAGCTTCATACATGGAGCATATGGTGCATATACCAGGGAGAATGTCTGAAATGGCACAAAGAATGTATCTTTAAGAAAGAAAGAGGGGATCAGTGAATGAATGTCTGCATGCGTGTATGTATACACTAATGAAAGTAAATGAAAGAAGAGAAGAAGTGAGTGACTTTCACCTAGATTGCATATTTTCATTCACTACGACTACTACTATTACCACTATACATTGAAGCAAATATTTCGGTAACATACAAATATATTTTGTAAAACTGGGTTGTACGCATATACATATATACACACTGATGACCGATGGTATTGTGATACTAATAAATATACATACATATACATGTGAGTTTACATGCATTATCTCATTGTAGTTCATTTTATTCCATTCTATTACTTTTGTTTTCTGTTTCTTTAATTTTTAAGTATTTTATTCAATTCCTGTGAAGATAGTCTCTCCCAGTGACGTGCCTATAAATATTTAGGCAACTGTACAAGTCCCAGATATTGCACCATATATATATACGTATGAATTGTACAAAAGATTACTAGTTTGACTATACTTAATAGTAACAGTATTATTGCTAATAACGATAATAATACGCATGCATTGCACTACTTGAGTACTTACCTACCTTTTTGGTTGGATCTCGAATTCCCACTGCCATTCTCGCGTTCCCGCCAAAGGTGAACTTCTCCATCTCTCTTTGTCTCTCCGTGTTTGCGCGTGTGTGTATGCATTTTAGTGGTGTTTTTAGAAAAAAATGTAAAACCTACATTTATCTTCTTTCAATAGTCAATCAATCTATCAATCAGATGTGTTTGTATATCTGTTTGTGAAAGAAAGAGCCAATCAACCAACTAAATAAATAAATTTTTATTTTCCTTTAATTATCGTCAATATTAACTACACAACAATCCTCTGTGTGTGAAAATGTCTTGTGTATTCCTCTCTTTCTCTCACTTTGTTTGCCTCCACAGCTTCGCTTCGCTTCGGTTTGTTTTGTATCTCTCCTCTCTTGTTAATCAAGGCGTTTGATTTGTATTAAAAGCATTTATTACTAATGTTATTGCCTTTCTTAAAATTGGCATGAATTTGTATCCATCCATCTGTCCGCCCGTCCACTTACGTTGTTGAGCTGATCTTGTCCATCCCATCCCACCTCGACCCCTCCTGTTATATTTTGCTGCTGGTTTATTCAAGTTTCGCCTCGTCCTCCTCCTCATCGTTGTAGTCGCCTTCTTCTCGTCTCTGTTCTAGTTTCGTGCGGAGGCGATTTCGTCTTCGGTGGAGAAACAGTGGGCAACACAGTACGAACGTTCACATAATAAGAACAATAACAGTGGTAGTATTAATAATAAAAATAATGTATTTGTTCCTGTTATTCTTATTGTTATTATTCTTATTTTAATATCGTTTTTAATTCAGTACCACTTACATCGGGTTCATTATTACTTTTTGTTTCTGTTTCTTTAATCTTTACTACTAATATTATTTTTTTAACGCTTACAAGTATTGGAGAGATTCGACATTATTATTACTATTAGTACTGTTATTATCGTCACTATTACGTGACAGACACAGAGTTACTGCTTTTGTTAAAAATAAATTTTGTTGAAGCATTTGCAAGTCTGTCTGTTGCTCTACCAGTTTACCGGGCTTTTTATTTCCTTTGTTTTCTTATTTCCCGTGTACTGCATTCACATACAGACACAAACATGCATACTATCCTTTCGCCTATAATATATGTTTTTTAACTGACGTATCAAGACGTCCTATCTGCCCCTCGCCCCTCCCTAAGTTTCATACCTATCTGTCTTACTATCTATCCATTTATCTCGATGCCTATATAGTTATTTTTTGTTTGTTTTTTCTGTGTTTGTCTGTGTCTAAACTAAAAATTGAATAAATATACTTTAAGGTATTACTAATTGTGTCAGTGAAATTCCTTGGGATGGGTGTAGATAGATTAATAGTTTGACAAATCGTCAAGAAAAACACTTGGCACTTGACAGCATGATGGTGTCCATCTGCAATGTTTTCAGGACGCTGGCGCCTCCTGCGTCAGTCACTACTGCAGTCAAGCACATTAGCATTGACGTATTCGCGACTGATCTTCTGTAGGACTGTAATGGATACATTGACAACAAAGAAGCAACGAGAGTGGGTCCTCAGTGCTGGCGCTGTTTTTTAGCAAGGTATTCACTCTCCTCGTGCAAGGTTCTCAAGTAATATAATAATCGATATTGCATCAATTGAAGCAGTATTGTTCCATACAAAGCATGCTGCATTACTCTGCAAAGCTTTAATTCCATTACCCTCAAAAACTTCGTTGTAGTAGGTTGAAATCTACTTGAAAATGTGCCTCGAAGTAGGTTACAACTCATAGACATAGTCGGGTGGTTAAAACAATGTGAAATACAGTAAATATAGTGTGTTTTGATCTATGGGGAAAAATTGGTAGTCCAGTGACATAAGCAGGCTGTCGGTGGTCATGAATGTAGGCGACTCATCACTGTGATGGTGTGCTTGGGATTATTATTGTTAGACGATAACAGACATCCAATCTAGGATTCAGGTCTCGTCTCTCATGTCAGTCGTCAGTGAGGTATCCCTGCGACTTCGAAAAAACCGCTGTCATCTCAGAGATTTTAACCATCATATTCAATAAGAATAATTTAAGACTTGGTCACGAGGTAATTTAGAGAGTGCAGAAATCCTCAAATGTTTGGCGTGTAACTGGTTCCTGTCAAATGTGAGGTGTTGCCGCAGAACTGGACTACTCCAACTCTTAGCTTAAAGATAGGGAGTGAAGTGGCTGAGTGCGTTAACCACATCCTTTATTTGCGAATTCGTATCAACCCTAATGGACTGAGTGACTGATTGCTGACGGAATCTCTGAATGGATACGAAAGGCTGGTGTGCCATTTGCCAACTTACGTCATCTCTGATGTGGATGGGATATCCGACTATCGATCTAAGGACGGGTGCACTGCTCAGCAGTTGACCGTGTGTTCATTTGTGGTTATGAGACATGGCCATTGAAGGTGGTAGATATGAAAGGTGACTTGCATTTCTACGGTGTTCAGAGCTACAAGCTTTTATAAATTTCATTCAGCCAGTATACGATGACGTCACGTGCCAAGTTATTCACAACAGAAAACTCCGCGAAGCACCTGAAGTGAATAGAGGAATAATACGAGTCTACCATCACCGACGATTCTCTTGATTTTGGTGGATCGCATTATGCAACAGACTGTCTTAGGTGGTAGTGTGAAGAGGGGCATGTGTTGGACTGACAGAAAGTTTGTGAGGATCGTGAAGCCACTTGAAGGTGATGGCAAAGGGAGGAGTATAATCTAGATGTGTCTCTGAAGCGTTATGTCCCACTTGGAACACAAGGAAGGGATAGTAATCGTCTTAGCAATAGTAGTGTTCTTAAGTAGAGCAACCTGTCTAAATAGTTTCTCAGACTTAAAAAAAACCCACTTAGAGTGATGAAATGGTGTATCATTCTGATCAGAGTAATGTAAAGTTGATCGTGTAGGCTGTAAATAATTATTTCCAAATCTCCATTTACGCATTTAGAAGAAACGACATATTGAGTGAAGAAATATATTCATTTTCAATCAGTTCCTCATCATCAACTCTACACCAATATATAGTTTCTGCATCAAAATTATTTTACTAATCAAGTGGTTATTTTGGTTAATTAGTTTTAGGTATAGGCGGGGGTGAAATTAAGAGGTTAAAGGTAAATGTTAGTAACAAGAAATCTGAGTTTTAAAAGAGGGGTGAAAATTAATTATGGAATTCAAGATAAGTTGATTCTTAGGCGTTGGCAACAAGTTGACTTTGGCTTGTACCTAATGAGTATGTTGCCTGATAAGTAGGAACTAATTTGATTGTAGGATAGGTTGTGACCACTCAATTATTCAACCTTCTATAGACTAATCCTGCAACATTATCACTTTTAAAGTTGTATGAAGATAAGCTTCTTGTTAGCTGTGATTTGTTTTGTATTCACAGCTACAAATCTTCCGTAACAGCCAATGAATTTCTGAAGATTTTCTCAAGAATCATTAATCCTTTTTCCAATTTCCTAATAGAGCATATTTTTCTGTCTCTGGAAGGCAGTGCTTTTACATGTGGCCATTTATAATTGATTGGAGAAAAACGACTGAAATTTAAGGGCTATCCATCACAGGTTGACTTGTTGTGTCTTTGAAGGCTTTCATCTTCTAGACGCTGCACAACTCGCTGTCAAGAAAATGAAACTTCCCATTACTTCTGTCTACCATGGTATAGTCAATATTTCCATATGCGTCACTGAATAGCCTAAGTAGGTAGGATGCTTGGCTCGTATGGTTGTATACTACTTATGTGTCGTCAATATATTCACAATGAGAAGTTGTTCCATCGATTGCACACACAAGCTTCATTCTCTCACAGACGTAAAATAGACTGTGTGACTGGCCTCAAGCAGTTATTCCCCGTGCTTCATACGAACTGATTGACGCAAGAGGACTGATTCCAGCGAGCTCCGACTATGATGAGGAGCGAAAGGTACTTGAACTAAAACTAACAAAAAGTCTTCGCAACGACCGCGAACAGTGGAGGGCGACAAAAGCGAAAGAGATGGAAAAGGCATCGGCGATTGGCAACACCAGCCAACTATTTAGGCTTAACAGGGAAACAGGTGGCAAAAGGCAAATGATAAGTGAAACAATCTTGGAGAAAAATGGCACCATAACTAGCTCCCAGGAACGCTGGAAAGAGCACTATGAGGAGCAGTTTAATTGGCCTACAGCCACACTTAACCTGCTGAACATCCAACACCTCCCTGAATGGGATATAGACACAGGTCCTCCTTCCTTAACTGAGGTTACTAAAGCTGTCACTAATCTGAAACAAGGCAAAGCAGCGGGACCTAATGGAATGACTCCAGAGGTATTTAAGTACGGTGGAGACAGTTTAATGTCTGCATTAACTGAGGTTCTAGGCAGCGTCTGGGAATCAGAGGAAGTCCCATCGGGTTGGTGTAAGTCCCTGATTATCCCGATATACAAGAAGGGAGACAAGTCTTTCTGTGATAATCACAGAGGGATTAGCTTGACTAATATAGTATCTAAAGTCCTAGGCTCAATAATCATGCGTAGACTAAGTGGTGCTCGGGACGCAAAAACACGAGAAAACCAGGCAGGCTTCAGACCAGGAAGAGGGTGTATTGATCATACCTTCACCCTCCGACAGATTCTAGAACATAGGCATTCCTACCGGCGTCCAACAATCATTATATTTCTTGACCTAAAGGCGGCATTCGATTCTGTCGACCGAGAGGTTCTCTGGCGATGCTTGGCTGTCAAGGGAATGTCGAGAAAATACATTGCACTGATTAAGGCACTCTACTCGTACTCATGCATCCAAGTGAGGGCTTACGGCGAGTTGTCATCTGAAGTGGTGACGATTAGTGGCGTCCGTCAGGGATGCCCACTCTCCCCATTTCTATTCAACTTCATCATAGATGTACTAATGGACTAAACCCTAACTGACTTCAGCGACTCAGGGATTGACTTGCTACCAGGGAATAATCTCGTTGACTTAGAATATACAGACGATATAGTCCTTCTAGGCGAGGACGCTGACAAAATGCAGAGTCTTCTGAACACCTTGAGCTGCAATCTACGAATATTTGGCGTGCGATTCGCTCCCGCCAAATGTAAGATGATTTTACAGGATTGGACTACACCGACTCCTAGATTAGAAATAGGAAGTGAAGTGGTAGAGCACGTTGACTGCTTCACTTACTTGGGAAGTATCATCAGCCCCAACGGGTTGATCTCTGACGAAATCTCAGCACGAATACAGAGGGCTAGTTTCGCATATGCCAGTTCACGCCGTCTCTGGCGTAGACGTGATATCCGACTATCGACCAAAGGGCGTGTGTACTGCTCATCAGTCCGCTCCGTCCTCCTTTATGGCTGTGAGACCTGGCCATTGAGAGTGGAGGACATGAAACGATTATCTGTGTTCCATCATAGGTGTCTGCGTTCTATCTCCCGTGTGAAGTGGTATAATAAGGTGAGCAATATTGAGGTTAGGCGTTGAGTGCTAGGTAAGGAGGGGAAATCAATCGACGAGGCTGTGAAGTACTACATCGACTGAGATGGTTAGGACATGTGTTACGTATGTCTAGTCATCGCCTTCCTCGACGGGCAATGTTAGCTGACATAGGGTCAGGCTGGAAAAGAGCCAGTGGCAGTCAAACGAAAACATGGCACCAGTCAATGAAATCTATAACAGTTAGTCTAAGCCACGTCGGAAGGTGTAGACTTCCTGGTTGAGGTCCTCGGGACGGTAAAAACCAATGGTTGGAAACAATTGGTGACATGGCTCAAAATCGTTCTCATTGATGACTGGCGCAGATGCATCCACTCCTTGTGACTTATGATTTCCAATTAAACTGTTTTGTTCTTCGTTATTACTATTCCTTTGTCTCCCACCTCTGTTTACTGTCTCTAATATGCATTTCTCCTACTTTCTTCTCTTTCTTTGTGTGCTACATGGAGTGTGGCGACTTGAACTGCCGCACATATGTGCAAAGTTCTATGTCGAAAACCGACCGACCGACCGTGCTGTAAGGTGACGCAACATTAATGCTCTAGTGTTTCAGGTATTTCGGGGGAAATCAGCCTACATGCTGTTTGGGAAACAGCGAAGTACTAACCACACAAGCTCATCTTCTTAATCACAAAAAGCTTTCCCTCATAGTCAGTCAATTTGGCTATCTAGTGCAATATCATTTTTACTCCTGCAGGTTTACATAAATATCGCAACCGTTCGGACTCATATCATCATAAAGGCAGTCATTTATTTTCATGCTTTTACTTCTGAGTGAAATATAGGGCTCCGTGTTTAAATTTTCAGTAGCTGTGGTGCTGT